ACCTCTTCTCAAAAACAGGACTGGCTCTAGGAGTTTTGCCACCCAAAGCAAAAACAATTTTTGCCCCCCCCCCCTTTTTTTAATTACCCCACCCCCGGCCCTGCCTCAACTCTGCCCCTTCCCCCAAATCCCCAGCCCTGCCTCCTCCCCCCAGGCTCTCAAGCCTAGGAGGGAGGGAGGGGGAGAAGCGGTGCCCACGCCGCAGCCACTCGGGGTCTCCCCCTCCCTCCCAGGCTCTCAAACCTGGGAGGGAGAGGGAGAGGGAGGGATGGGGAGACCCCGAGTGGCTGTGGCGCTCAAAACAGCTGATTCGCGTGCTGCTGCTCTCCCTCCCTCCCTCCCTCCCAGGCTTGAGAGTAGCGGTGCACAAATCAGCTATTTCGCGCGCTGTGGCGAGCTAGGGCAGCAGGGGCACATTTTTAGGGGCGGCATTCTGGTGCCGGCCATGCCGCCCCTAAAAATATGCCACTCCTAAAAATATGCCACCCCTAGCACCAGCTTGTTTTGCTGGTGCCTAGAGCTGGCCCTGCTCAAAAAAGATGTATTGGAATTGGAAAAGGTTCAGAAAAGTGCAACAACAATGATTAGGGGTATGGAACGGCTTCCATATGAGTAGAGATTAATAAGACGAGGACTTTTCAACTTGGAAAAGAGATGGCTAAGGGGAGATATGATTGAGGTCTATAAAATCATGACTGGTGTAGAGAAAGTAGATGAGGAAGTGTTTACTACTTCTCATAACACTAGGACTAGTGGTCACCAAATGAAATTAATAGGCAGCAGATTTAAAATAAAGGAAGTATTTCTTCACATAATGCACAGTCAACCTGTGGAACTCCTTGCCAGAGGATGTTGTGAAGGCCAAGACCATAACAGGGTTCAAAAAAGAACTAGATAAATTCATGGAGGATAGATCCATCAATGGCTATTACCCAGGATGGGCAGGGACGGTGTCCCTAGCCTCTGTTTGCCAGAAGCTGGGAATGAGCGACAGGGGATGGATCACTTGATGATTCCCTGTTCTGTTCATTCCCTCTGGGGCACCTGGCAGTGGCCACTGTTGGAAGACAGGATACTGGGCTAGGTGGACCTTTGGTCTGACCCAGTATGGCCGTTCTTATGTTCTTATTACCTCACTTACATTAAGATTTGTCAATATTTTATCTTTGTATCATTTATTCTGTCTGTCACTCTTGCTGTTATAACTGACATCCTTGTTTTTACATGACCATTTAGACTCCACCACTGCCCTGGGGAGTTTGTTAAAAATTGATGCCTTGTTTCTGACTGGAATTTGTCTGGCTTCAACTTCCAGCCACCGGTTACTTGTTTTGCTTTTCTGTGCTAGATCAAAGAGCCCTTTGGTACCCAGTGTTTTCTCCCATGACAGTTTGTTTACACTAGAATCCAATCACCTCTCCTTTCTGACAAGTTCAACAGACTGAGCCCTTTATCTCTTTCACTGTCTGATATTTTCATCAGCCCCTGAATCATTTTTATGGCTCTTCTCTGCACCCGCTCCAATTTTTCAATGTTGTTCTTGAAATGTGGACAACAGCCTGGGACACCGTGTTCCAGTATTGGTATATAGGGGAATCTGCTCCTACTCGTTACTCTCCTCTTTATACATCCAAGGGTCGCATTAGTTCTTTTGGCTACAGCATTGCTGTGGGAGCTCATGTTCCCTTGTGACCCCTAAATCCTTTTCAGAGTCAATGCTTTCCAAGACACAGTTCCCCTCTGTGCACATAATGCCTGCATGGCTTGTTCCTAAATGGACGACCTTGCATTTGGTTTTGTTTGAATGGGCCGATCTTACTAAGCCATCCAGATGCTCTATATGACTGCCCTGTCCTCATCATTATTCACCACTCTGTCAATCTTTGTGTCACCTGCAAATTTTGTCAGCAGTGGTTTTGGGATTTACTTCCCAATTATTGATGAAAATGTTGAACAGCTTCAGGCCTTGAAACGATCCCTTTGGAATTTCCCTGACATTCCAAGATTTATTCAAAATTAACATCAGTGGGCCAGAGCGGTGGATTTCAAACTTCTTTTTCTGGTGACCCAGTTGAAGAAAATTGTTGATGCCCGTGACCCACCGGAGCTGGGGATGTGAGGTTTGGGGTGTAAGAGGGGCTCAGGATTGGGGCAGAGGGTTGAGGTGCAGGAGGGGGTCAGGGCTCTGGGGTGGGGGTGCAGGCTCTGAGGTGGGGCCAGGGATGAGGGGATTGGGGTGCAGGAAAGGGCTCTGGGTTTGGGGGGGACTCAGGGCTGGGGCAGGCGATTGGGGTATGGGGTTGGGGCACGGGCTTACCTCAGGCGGCTCCCAGTCAGCAGTGCAGCAGGGATGCTAAGGCAGGCTTCCTGCCTGTCCTGGCACTGCTGAACGCGCTTCGCCCCGGAAGCGGCCAGCAGCAGGTCCGGCTCCTAGGTGGATGTGCGAAAGCAGCTCCATGTGGCTCTCGCTCGCAGGCACCACCACCCCCCAGCTCCCATTGACCAGGAACTGGTGCTGAGCCGGTGCTTGGGGCCTGTGCGCCCCCCACAC